AAAAAGGAAAATCAATTCCTTAAACTCTCAAGTCCAAATAATATTTTAATGATACTGTTAATGACTTTTCATTATTAAACTTAGTTTAAAAAAAAATTTTCAATCAAACATTTTTTAAACAACAAACATTAAATAAACATAATTTTCTCAATAATCTCATACATCTAACGGAACCCTTGACATTGTTCCACGGAACCCTAAGGTTCCGCGGAACACACTTTGGGAAACGCTGGTCTAGACTATATGTGCTATATAGATTATGCTGAATCATTATTGGACTACTTTGTGAGAACATATTTTGAAGAAATGTATGGTCGTCAGCATTTTTCTCACAACATTCATGGTCTTTTACATATACAGTCAAATTCGCTTATAACGATGCCGTATATAACGATATTCCGGGTAAAACGATCAAAAGCAATGTATTTGGTTGGTTTTATATGTTATGTGTACTACTTTTATTCGTATATAACGATATCGGTTATAACGATAATCCGGATATAGCGATGTTATTTTAAAACGAAAATTTGTTTTTATAATCACCTATAGCGATTATTAATACAGTATTGTACCTAGTAGTAAATTTGATTTCGACCAAATCGATATGACTTAATCTTATCTGTAACAGATAATGTGTCTTGTGCGACCGTACTGTATACAGCATACGTTTCTTACTCGTTTAGTCGCCGTTTTGATTGCTATCCGTTTAGACACGTTCTGAATTCCGTAGTTAAAAATGTCAAATAAAAGAAGACGCTGTTTCACTATTGCTGAAAAAGTGAAAATAATTGAACGTTTAGAATGTGGTGTTTCTAATAAAGATCTTTGCCAAGAGCTAGGAATTAGTCAATCAACACTATCTACCATATGGAAATCAAAAGACCAAATAAAAAGCGTTTTTCAAAAAGACGTGACATCTAACAAAAGGTTAAAATGTAGCCAACATCAAGACGTCGAACTGGCTCTCTTTGAATGGTTCAAAATACAACGATCTAAAAATATTCCAATAAGTGGTCCGATACTTCAAGAAAAAGCGACCGAATTCGGGAAGCGTTTTAATAAAATCGATTTTCAATGTTCTTCTTCTTGGATTACCCGTTTTCGTCAAAGACACAATATCGTTTTTGGAAAAATAAGTGGAGAATCGTCAAGCGTTCCTGTTGGTGTTTCGGAAAATTGGCTGGAACACGTTTGGCCTAATTTGCGTAAAAATTATGCAGATTGTGACATTTATAACGCTGATGAAACTGGATTGTTTTATCGTCTAACACCATCTCAAACATTACGTTTTAAAGGGGAAACATGCAGTGGTGGTAAATTATCTAAAGAGCGACTCACAATTCTTGTAGCCTCTAATATGACTGGTTCTTACAAACAAAAATTGTTAGTAATTGGAAAATCTAAGACTCCGAGATGTTTTAAAAATGTCAAAAACTTGCCAGTCGACTACAAAAGCAATAAAAAAGCATGGATGACCGGTGACATATTTTCCGAC